CTCTAAGGACTGTTCCAGCAAGCCCTATCCTAAAACAACTTTCCTCAGTCTCAGACATTAGCATTTTTAGAGATATCTCGTCACTCCATTTTCTCTACTAAGTAGTGATTATCATAAAAATAAATTACTATTTATGACACTTTACCCTTTTGGTTATTGTTTTATTTTGGGTTTGTTTTTGTTTCTTAGTATCGTACTAGGTAGCCCAAGTTGGCTTGAATGTTCAGTGATCCTCATGTCTTAGCCTAAGTGCTGGATTACAAACCTGCACTACCATGCCCAACTTGTTTTGCTTTTTTGAGCCCAAGTCCCAGTAAGTGCCTAAGCTGGTCTGAAACTATGTCTCAACCACCCTCATGCCTTAGCCTACCCAGCAGCTAGACTACAGGCTCACATCATTGTGCCCAGCCAAATCACTTCTATTTTTAATAATACTAATGCAAATGTTTTAACTAATAACTTATCCTACCACTAGTCATTAACAACTTTGGAACATTTTACCTTTTAAATACCTACTTTACTCAAGATTAAATAAATCCAAAACACTAAATAATCCCTTAGTCTACTTCTTTTCTTGGTCTTTTTGAGACAGGGTCTCCCTGAAGCCCCAGCTGGCCTGGAACTAACTATGTAGATCAGGATGGCCTTTTTAAAAAAACCTAAAGTCTAAATTTATTTCTCCTCTATCAAAAATAAGGTAATCCAAGTAAAAATCCAAGATTTCTTTGGTTCTTCCATGTTATCTGAATAGTTAGGTGGGCTAATTAGAACATGGTTTTGATTACAGCAGATTTACACTCTGAATATATAGAGTAGTTAGCTTCAATTCACGCAAAGTTCCAAAAAGCCAAAGGTTAAATAAATCCTGTCACCTACCTCTTGGATCCACATTTAACCAGATGAGAAATGACATACAGTACTTCAATACTGTCCAAAATTCCCAGTGCACACCTGAAACTATGGGTAGCATGAGACCTTGTATATACTATGTTTTCTCCTGTACAAACATGCCTATGATAGTTTAATTTATAAATAAGGCACAGTAGGAAATCAACAATAACAGAACAAATTTAACACTATAACAGTATCTACATGAATGTGATCGTCTTTTACCTTTATTCTTTTTTTTTAATATTTTATTATTTTTATTTTATGTGTATGTGTGTGCTGCCTGCATGTAAGTGCATCCATGTTGTGCAATACCCACGGAGGACAGAAGAGGCTGTTGGATCCCCTGGAACTGGAGTTATAAACAGCTACCATGTGGGTGCTAGGATTCGAACAGCCAGTGTTCTTAACTGCTGAGCCATTTCTCCAGTCCCTACTTTTACTCTCTTAAAATACCTTACTTTTTCACTTAAAGGAAGTACTTTCTAGATTTTCTTTGGCATTATCTGAATTGCTAGTGTCACTACTTTTTTTTTTTTTTTTGAGACAGGGTCTCCCTGTAGTCCCAGTTGACCTGGAACTCACACTATGGAGACCAGGCTGGTCTTGAACTCACCGAGATCCATCTGCCTCTGCCTCCTGAGTGCTGGGATTAAATCCTGAGTGCCGGGATCAAAGGCATGTGCCACCACACCCAGCTTGTATCATTACTCTTGTACACTGGGGTCCATATAAAGCAAAATAAAGGTTGCTTCCAAGTAAAGGTACTTACAAGCACTAAAATATCAAGATTGTTGATTTACTAATCAAGACGGCTACTAAGTGACTAGTAAACACACAGAGTGAGTATGCTGGACAAAGGGCTGCTCATGCCAGGCAAGAACAGTAGGACAGTACAAAATTTCATCATTACTCAGAACAGCACAAAACTTAAATTCTGAACTGTTTATTTCTGGAGTTTTCTACTGAATAATTTCAAACCACAGCTGAGTAAGGGTTAACTGAAACCACAGAAGGTGAAACTATGGACAGGGTCTGGAAGGGAAGGGACGCTATTGTGTTCAGAATTCATTTCACCACTAAATACTGGAGTGTATCAACTTAACAGATGCAAAGAACTAGATTAACCCCTTTGAACATACTGTTGTGAACTGTTTTAAGAGTGTTCTCTTCAATAAATGATATGCTGCTAACTCCTGCTCAACTTATGATGGACCATTCACATACAAGGTCTCACACTTATGACTTACAGTTAGTTTAGGTCAACAAGTATACTAACAACAATCCATTTTATAGGACTAGGGGCACGGGTTTTGACCCCAGCTACTCAGGAGTTAAGGCCATTCTAGGCTACACCGCAAGTACAAAGCTAGGCTGGGCATTGTGAAGACCTGAATTCAAATTCCAGTACCATGAAACAACAGAATCTACTTTAGATTGACCACATTATCAAGATCATTTTGTAATTTTATTTTCTGTCTTCTAAGATTTCAGAAATTACAACCACTTTGTTGTCATTCACAGGTATAACATTCTTATTTTACCATCACCCAATAATGGAAAATAAAAATACAGATGAAGACCAAGTTCCCAGTGTATACTCCTATCACTGCTGGTTCTCACTGAGCTTAATCACTGAGTAGGTTATATGCATATAGTAATGCGATCCCAGAGCATATACTCCTAAGACTTTTTAGAAATAAAGCACATTCTTTTCAGAGGTCGCAAACCACCACAATACACAAGCATAGCATAATTCAATACGGGTGGAAAGGAGGCAGGAACTACTTTATGGTCCTTTTCTTTACATTTGCTCCTCAGTTGATTCTCAAACCTCTCTGAGATGTTATATTCTTTGTAAACTGAAACAGCAAAAACTCAGAGCACTTAAGCAACCTATGCTTCAGGGACTTTGAAGATAGTTGGAATCTAAGTTCTGTATTACTGTCTAGGACCCACAACTAAGTTAATGAAGTTAGTAGTATATGACTAGGAATGTCTCATTGCTAAGCCTCAGTTTCCTCATTAGAAAATGAAGTTTAAAATAGTAACTCTCAAGTGTTTATTTCAGAGCCTAGCATATAATAATCTCTCCCAGTAACTACTGGCACTGGTAAAGTTAAGAAAATCAAAAATCAGCTGGGTGTGGTTACACACATCTTTGATCCCAGTACTCAGGAGGCAGAGGCAAGCAGATCTCTGTGCATTCAAGCCTGGTCTACTTAAGTTGCAGGTTAACTGGGAGACCCTGTCTCAAAAAGACACCCCCCCCACACACACACACAAAAAATCAAAATTCAAAAGTTAGATCAGGTCTGACTCCCAAGTCCCATTCTAGGTCTATAGCTGTCAACACATTTTTTATTTATTTTATTTTTTTTTCTGAGACAAGGTTTCATGAGGCCCAGGCTAGCCTTAAACTATGTAGCTGAAGATACCTTGAACTTCTGATCCTCCTGCTCAGACTATAAGCATTTACACCCAGAATTTTTTTTTTTTTTTTTTTTTTTTTTTTTTTTTTTGAGACAAGGTCTCCCTGTAGCCCCAGCTGTCCTGGAACTCACTATGTAGA